ATCGTGTTAATGTACATGCGCGCGCAGCGATGCGATTCACGTTGTGCACGTGTCAGAGCATGCCGGCCGTGCGTATGTTAATGACACCGAAATGACGGGCGCGTAATGCGATGCGCGATGCGTGCGTGTGTGGGACTGCTGCTGGGCCGGGCATGCTCCGCCGGCGACCACCGGCGTAGCGCAATAATGACGCACGTCACTCGATTTTATTATTTTAATAATAGGCCGCCACGCCGTGCCGCGCCGCGCCGCGGCCCACGCGACTCGCATACTCATCGGCCGTTTTCGCACAGGGATCGTCCTTTCATTCAGACCGAGTTCACCCCGCGTCGCTCGCCCGCTTGCATACCTATCATCCTTCCTTCCTCCTCCTTCCTTCCTTCCTTCCTTCCTTCCGCCGATTCACCTTCTTACGTCAAACGCGACGGACACATCAATTATCGCGCATTTGTCACGAGCAGACGACGCGTCTTTTAAGGAGACAACAAGAGAATCCTTTCTCATCTTCCGAGTAAAAACCAACAGCCGGAGGAGGATCAAAGAAGGGAAACGGGGATCGAGATTTTTCTTTTCAATCAAATTTCAATTTAATCGGTTCATTACCATTTGTCCAGGGAGACAAAACTCCTATTGAAAATTAAGTTGAACGACGCGTCCACGACAGATCGCAGTTATTAATGTAAAACTAGTAAATTTTAAAGCTATTCGTCACAACGAAAAGCACGCTTGATCAAAATAGGCAAACGGCGGGCAGCGTCGCTACGGAGGAAACGCAGCGATTTCGATCGCGGCATGACGCGCGGTTAAATATTCATCGCCGTCATTTCACTGGACATCAAAGCGTTCACCGATCCGCGGTGTACCTACGTGCGCACAACCGGCCAGTCGTATCCGGTAGAGAATTTCAAACGACCGCTTGTTATTCTCGACGCGAGTCGTGCGGACGAATGTCTCGCTGCTGACAGTCTTTATATTATCTTGTCGCGATGCCTTTTATACCTTTTCCTTTTTGTTCGACGCGAATTACAGGTTGTGATTATCGCGACTATTCCTATTCCCCGCTTTGGTCCCGTATTTCCGAAATCTACTTTTAGTCAGAGCACGAGTCCCCAATTATCTGTGATTCTTGCGCCGCAAATTGCAAATTCCATCTAGAGATTCACTTTGATATTAAACGAGCCGGGGATATTTTTAATGCCACGCACGTATTGCGCTTTTAAAAATTTTACGAGTTTTTACGGATCGACGGTTTTAATGTCGGGCGAACGACTTATAATAACGTTGGCTCGTATCTTACCTTTTGGGATATTTTGTTAGGCGCGGTTTCCGGGCATTCGGGATCCGCTGGATTCAGACATGGCTTGCTCTGATAGCCATTCGTTATTCCGGCCCTCTTCATGTAATCCTCGAGTGTTTTAAAGGGAAACGAGATCTGCAACTTTTTTATCTCGTCCACTAACGTGGAAGGATTCAGATTCGTCCATTTGACGCGTTTGTTGCTTTGCACACCACTGTTCAATCAATCAAAAGAGAATTCTAAGTGATTTCGTCAACAATTTAACTGATTTATCATTATTTGTTCAAGCGAGCAAGATTTGTAATAAAAATCGAACAGATCAGATCTGTGATCAAGTCGCAAAATTTAATCTCGTATAAAATTAATTTATGCATTTAATATAATTAAATCACATCATATTTAAACGTTCACACTGGCATTAATATCGAAAAAATTTAAGAAGTCTGCCCAATATCTCATTTGTCATCTATTATTAATAAATCGTGGAAAAAATGGTTGACAATACTTACGGTATATGAACCGGAAATTCCGGACCCAAGAGTTTGCTTCCTTCCCAAAAACAGTCGAGTGGCGTGATGATGGCGCAAGGAATAATACTATCAAAGATCTGCAAATGAAAAAAATAAGCAAACATTCATCTTCTCGTAAACGAATACGTTTTAATAAAATAATAACATTATTAATTAAAAGACATAAAATAATGTTTGGATTTCATCTTAAATTAACTTTTTTATAATGGCAAACGGTATATTTAAGGCGCGTGTTATTCAACGCTCACGCACTGTTACAATAATTTTTCTTTATCACTCATCGAATGTCAAACAAGGACAAATGACGCAAGGTTGCGAGTGGTTAAATGGAACGTATCTTCAGAATTGAAATATCAAACTTGGAGTTGTTTTCTGCAACTGTGACGTCTCGAGATGATTACAACTCGAAGGATTGTTTCCTTTACTACCGGGGAAAAAAAAAAAAAAAAAAAGAAAAGAAAGAAAATGATGGCTTCAGCGTGAAATGGCACAAACTACATCTAATCAAACTACACGGTGCCGCATGCCGCAGCAAGACGTCGGCGTCATTATTCAACGCTAATTGCTCATTCTCTTGTCCTGAGCCCTTCACAATCTCGCCCCATACGTATGCAACCGATGCGCCGCGCACCCGTCCATTGCATACGCATAGGCGAATTTGCATCTCGAAGAGATGCATAATGCAAATCCCGCCAATGATGAAGTTATATTTCGATTTGATAGCCAGGATTAATATTGATTTAAAATAAAAATATTTCATCTAAAACAATTATTATTCCCTCTCCTATTATTATCACGATAATATCCTATTGTTAATGACAGTAACAAAATTCTCCAATTTTTAATCTTAACAATTGTTAACTTGTGTTTTATTTTGCAGAGAAGAGGCAAAAAGGCGGTGAAGGAAAATGCACATTCACAAAGTAAAGTGTAATTTTCTTATTAACTACTTAGAGATGTCAGGTATAAACGCGATTCAACTTAATTCATTCCGACTCCGTCGTGTATCGTTTTGATGAAAAAAAATGTAAACTGAAAGCGTCGAGTTGTAAGTCGAACGAGTGTTAAGTCACGAGTGGCGTGCGCGAGAGCCTATCTTAATGCGATGCAAATTATGAGTTTGGCGAGATCGCTTTTCAAGTGTCATTCAGGAAACGCGACGTCGACAAGAGTCGGGCTGTTTAAACAGCGCTTAGATATTGTACAAGATGTAATCTAAGATGATTTTATCCCGCCGTCGGACGCGAGGCGCGCAAGGATTACGAAAGAACGTGGTTGCGCGGACCGCCCTATTCAAGTTTCCTGGAACCCAAAGGTGGGCCCTCGTAATGGCCTAGTACCCAGAAAAACCGTGTGACGATCGTTAATGTCAGAGTTGGATATTAGTCGGATCGGATTTTGTTTACCGCTCTCTATACGGAGAAAACCTTTCTCGCTCGTCCGTTTAATTATTGCCATTGTTGATAGCAGAAACAGCAAACTGTCGAATATTTCCTCGGATCTCGGATCGATTTCTGATATCAATACCTTGCAATGCGAAAAAAAATAATTGGATCTTTTTTGATATATGGAAATATGTTAAATAATTATATAATGTTATAATGAGGAAACGAAAGACGGATAAAAATAGAAAGAGAAAGATATTCGTACGCACAAGTTTTAATGATACATAAAAAAAGCAGTCTCTCGCACAAAACATGTTTATAATGTTGGAGATTCGTGTTACCGATAGGATTCGTGACGTGGGTTTTCCTCTTAAAATATCGACAACGACTTTGCTTTTCTAATGTAACTCATTAGTTGTATACGAAGTGATATAATGTACACGTCGCGTAGATATAGATCTTATTTCGCGAATTTTCAATTTTAAATATTTTCTATCTGACGTCTCAAAAAAGGTGTCCGAAATTCCAAAAAGATCTCATAATAATTATTAATTTCAGTGTCGTTAATTTAAATAGCTCATTACGCAGACATGTGCGCGTGTCACGTGCGCGCATTGATGCCTTCGCTAGAGGTCTAATGGGACCGAGAGACGGTGCGTAAACACGTGTTCGTGCGCGCCATTCATGCTGTACGTGCGCGCGCGCGCGCGCGCGCACGCGCGTGCGCGCGCGGGTGTCGCGCCTGCGTGTACGTGCGTATATGCTTGCTGTATTACCTGGTCGATGTAGTGCATGTCGAAGTTGGGTATGCTTGGCGCGTAACACAAGTCCTTCAGCTTCCACGTGCTGCAAATGACACACAAGCATTCGTGACTACGAGACTTTGCGTCATTTCATTCTTAAAGTATAGATAATATAGAACACACAACAATTGCGATCACATCGTTTTACTTACGTTGTTTGTAAAATAAAAATATTAATTATTTATTAAGTTAAACTGAATAGCGTTCTATATGATAAAATTGAAAAAAAATGTAAAGAAAACTTTCTTCTCTCATGAAACATTGTGAAAGAGATTCGATTTTCAGAAAATCAGAAGATTAATAACATCTTTTGTCTTTTTTTCTAAATTTTGACAAAATAATTTATTAGGGCTTAAGATCTGATCGTGACAATGACTATCTGTGTGTTTCTAATGTTTAAAACATTTTTTGAAATTTTTAAATGTTTATATATTCCTAAAATTCGAATTTCTTGAAAACAAAGTATTACACGGAGAAGTACACATTATTCCTAATTTACTCTTTCGCGTAAAATTTATCTTTCTCCCAATTTGTATCATCGGTAATGGACCACCCTACGTATAAACGCCACGATCCTTCCTATCGTGGGGATTAATTATACCGCCGTTATGCCTACTAGTCCCTCTCTCCCTAATTAATTCGGCTTTCAAATTAAACGGCGGACGCTCCCTTTCCGTATACAAATGAGAAAGCGCAGCGAGCGGAGGAAAGAACTTACATATCGAACAGGTGCACCTCTACGTTCATCGCAGCTTTCAGCACCGCCAAGTGTTCTCTGAGTGCAGCCGGATGCAGGATGTTCGCCCCGGAATGCCTCGGCGTCTGGATGACGAGCTGATGCGTCGAGGCGGCAGCTTCGCCCAGCACTTCCGACGCATAGGTAAGCTCTTTTTGTAATCTTCCACCTTCTGCAAGCGAAAACCAAATCGCGAATCATTAATTCATCCGTTTAAAAAATACTTGCAAAGCCTAAAAAGAATTCTTGGCGAATCAATTATTCTGTGATTTGAAAAAAGAATAAGAGTATAATACAGATGACGGAAAAAGTTATCTATATAAAAAAAAAAAATAAGTTTTTGTCAAAGTATTTAAAAATATGATACCAGAAAATATGATACCATAAAAATAATATTGTTGAATTATCAAAATAAACATAAATAAAACGCTCAAGATGATTGCTAGAATATAAAAAAAATTTTTTGCTTAACAGCAGTTGTATTATTTATGTTTTCTTTTATTTATACATTAAACGGATGATGCAATTATTTGATAAAATTTTTTTTTAATTATTATTTTTGCCGCAGATCTTTACATCGAGTTCCTCATTAAACGATAACAAATTCTTCTTCAAAATTCGGCTTGAATTTCTATGAGAAAATTAAGAAGAAGAGAGAAAAACGACGTTGCAAATTTTAGGTGACCCCTTCGTACACATAGATTATTTTGTAAGCCTTGCGACGAACGCGATTAGCGTAGTTCTCCGAAGAGAAACATTGGCCGAGACAGTGTCGTAACATACACGTTTCTGCGCGTCTTTGTACCGACAAAAATTCCTGGTAGTCTACTAATAAAACATTCGCAGAAACGGATAAAATAGCGGACGTGAAAATAGCGGCAAAAGTAGATGATTCGCAATCTAGTCACATATCATCCTTCTTACCGACGCGTTGTGTTTCTTCCGAACCCAATTTCAAACAGTTTTTACCAATCATCGCAGTCAATAATGGCAACAGTCTTTGTTAAAGGAAAGCTATTTCAAAGAACGCGAAGAACTATAATTTTTTGCTCTTAATATTACAATTCAGAAACTTTCTCTATAACTACAACAAAACATCGAAGAAGCGTGTCGCAACTTCGATCGAAGGAAACGTCCAAAAGTGTTTTCGTTTGATATCGCGGCATCGCGTTGGTCTTTCTCCAAAAAGAAAGACCTCACGTGAAGAGATCTCACAACGATCTTAAAATGAAAAGGAAAAAAAAAAGAGGAGAGATGTCGCGGGCAAGTTATTTCGCCACGAAAGTGCGCATGCACGTATAAGCGTCTCTCGCCCGAGGATTCACCTCGCTTTTTATAAGCCATTTGAAGAAACGAGACAAGAAGCCCAAAGCCGCCTTTGCGGAGAACGACGCTGCGCGCTGCGATTTAAAGGAGCATACACCGTATATAGCGAGCAGTAGTAATGGACGAGGGGCACACGAGGATGATGGCCGTTGCGCGCGCGCGCGCGCGCGCGCACGGGGTACCCTGGTATCCCACCTAGTCAGATTTCACCGTCAAAAATGCCGACGGCGTATTTGCTCGTTCCGCCACGACGCGGTCGCCGTGGACCACCCGTATTGCTCGCTGCGCGAAAGTGGTTCTCAAACGACCTCGCGGAAACCACCGGACGATAACTCGAATAAAGAAACAAAAACAAAATTATTTCCTACAATTTAAGAAAAATATGAATCTCTGTGAAGCTTAGGGAAGTGTTGTTTAAGTTACTAAGAAAAAATACATACACGTCTTTATAATCGATACTATTTTTGTTATTTTAATTTAATTTTATTTTTATTGATTATTGAAAATTAATATTACACTTATTAAATTAACGTCTTTTAAAATTAGAAAAATAATACCAAATAAGAAAAAAAGAATTAGTTACATCAATTTTTGTATATAAAGTTGATTAAAAAAATATTTATAGAAATAATTTTACATAAAATTATAATTTCATTCTATATAAAATTATATGTAAATATAAAAAAATGATAAGAATCGACATTTTAAAATTATATCTCATTTGTTTTATATATGGATGAAAGAGATATGAAATATTTCTTTCCTTTCTAAAAAAAAAAACAATATATTGAAAGATAGAAGATGAGAGATTTGTCAATTTTCTATTAAACTTGATTATGAGTTTGGAGCTTTTTCGAAGGGAGATTGTGTGTATAAACTTCTTTGGGAAGAATAAATAAATTTTATAAATAAAAGTCAACGATAAATATTTCTCATAGCTTCGTTTTTAGCTTTGTACCACAATGACAATGCACAAAGCAAGCAAGACTTACACTAAAATTTTTCTCTAGACATCATGAAATATTTTCATTATTTTGATCATCAAGGAACTCTTATGACGTAATTGCCGTGACGATGACAGCGAGGCTTGTGCATTTGTGAGTCGGCCTGTAGAATGCGGCCGGGTACACTGAGCGTAATAAAGACACTACTCTCTGCTCTACGAAGCAAGAAACGTGGCTTAACGGTGGAAAGCGGAGGAGAGGAAGGAGGCGGAGAAAGAGAGACGAAGAGATATAGTGAAAAAGGGCAACACCGCCGACGGAGGGGACGCTTAGAGGGGGGACTAGCAGGCAGGGTACACTCGCGCGAGGGAGAGAGGAGGAGAGAATGAAAGAAAGAGATGGAGAGAGGGCACCGGGCTTGATTTATCGACGAGGCGTCTCTGTAATTATTTCTCCGTCTCTGTCTCGTTCAGCTCTCGGGAGAACGAGCGGCTCTCTCGCGCCCCCCCCTCCCCCATCCCGTCTATCTGCACCCTTCCGGCTACCGTGATTGCGGCCGCGCGCTCGCATCTCTCCGCGCATCGGTCCCGCTCGCTCCAGGGCACCCTTGAATGGCCGTCGTCTTTCAGCTCTATCGGTGCGCCTCATTCACCACTTCTCTCCTCTATTGTTTCCGCGAACTTCCCGCGAGCATACCGAAGAGAACGAGGGGGTGGTTTCGGGCGGAGATGTTACGTCCGTTTCACGACAACGGCGACGTTTGATCTTTCAGCTTTCTTTCGCGGCGCGGCAGAAGTTCTCTGTGACTCTCGTCTCTTTTTCTTCAGGGGGAGTTCTCCAGGGTCAGATCGAGGGGTCAGCCATCGACGTTAATGCGATATCGCGGGGTCTTAATGATCTTCCAATTGTAGAGAGGAAAAAGAGCTCTGTCAGAAAATATAAACGATTCCGCGACTTGACTGAAGATTCAGTTAATATACTCGATCGTGAATCGATATTTATATTTCGAAATTCAAGGATTCTTCTTCAGGAAGAGGAAAACGAGATAGTCATGCTGTGGAGTTCCGCCCTCTATCTCCCGGAGAGAGGGAAGCAGGTGCGCGTTGGTTCTGTCGTTTATATAGCGAAGGTTTTTCTGTTCTCATGTTCGCCCCGATCTTGTGCTCGAAAGCAAATTAATTTTTAAATGTACGTTGTTAGATTTAAAAATTTATGCAATTGTACCGATAGTTTGTGTTTAGAAATTTGGCGTAAAAGAGATTTTACGATTGCACCTCTCAGATTTACTTCAATAATGAAAAAGTATCGAAAACCGGTTTCTTCTATCGTAAGATAATATCACTGTTATTCATTGAGCTTTCGATATATTTACAATTCTTTTTATATGTTGCATTTCACTACTACTACTACTATTAAATCTATTAGAACATACTATTGAAGCTATAATGGAAGTTTATTTAGTTTGCAGGATTAGATTTAGACTAAAATTATATTACGGTGAAAAGCTGGAGAACGGAGAATCTCCCTGGATGACGTAAGCGCCGCGTCGTTTCAAAAATATCTCTCTGTTATTATTCAAATTATTTATTCTAGATCGATCGGCGGTCCTCATCGGAGTTGGATCTATTCATCTCCGAGCGGCGCGCAAGCTGTCCGTGCGGACAGCTTTATGGCGTGTGAAAACGTAAGAACCACGTGGCCGCAGCCTCGTTAGGGGTCCTTGTTCCTGCGACACGCCCCGACTGGCTGCGCGATGGTTCGAATCTTCGAGGAAATGCTTAGAAATTCCTGCGTGCGGTGCGAGAGGAGCGTGTGCCTGCCCGCTTTCCTTTCCGTGAGATTGATGGGCGGTTCTTCGCGGTGACGTTCAATTCCTCGTTTCTGTAACGAAAGTCCTGCCGGCCCGCTCCCCCTCCTTCTGATCCTCGGAATATCGACCGGTAAAAAGAGCCGAGGCGTCGAATCGATCTCCAGATTTAAATTCCAAGTAAGTCTCAAGTCTGTATACATTGGAAAACAAATATACAGATGGAGTAGTAAATTATCGTGCGACTTCTCGATTAAGACAAAAACTTCGTTGATTATTTCGTAACAACACATCTTATAAAAAAACGCAAATCACAACAAATATATAACCCATCTTTCGTTTCCTTTCCTCTTCTTTTCTTCCATCCCTTCC